TTGTATCTATGTTAAGGAGATTAGAGGAATGTTGAGGGCCTGAAGCCCCAATGTGAATTGTTTTAGTTATAAGATTTAGCAAGGCTTGATTTACAATGTATCCTGCTGAATATACAATACTGCTGTCTGTATACCTTTGAAGGTTTCTGTAAGAGATTGTTTGTCTGAATGAGGAATGCATTCATCAGGAAAAGATAAGGTGTGAAAGCCATCACAAATGTCCAGATGGTCAAGAAAAAGTGAGAGACTTGAAAAGACCAGGAGACAATCAGAAAACATCCATTGTATCCAATGCTAAACATGTTCCCAGCATTGGCAGCCCCGAAGGCGAGACAACAAATAGGAGATAACGATGGGCAGCCCGACAATAACCATCAAATGATAACACCACTTAAGGACTAATGATTACAGGATGACATTGCAAAATGCATGGACTCAAATGGGAATTTACAACTATAAAGCTGGAGTGTTTTGCCAATTCAGAGTGCCATGACTTTAATTCTTGCGACTGGAACATGAAAGTATGGATAAATGATGGTGCTTTGCTTTCAGCCCACTTGACTATGGCCATCTGGTATTAAAACAGCCTGGAAATTGGACCATGGATCTAGAAAGATGATTCAAATGAAGAAATAACAATGAGTCTTGTGTTCTTTTCTCATATCTTTATCAGCAGCCTGTTCTCATTCTTCACTGTCGTCAAGCGTTGCCTGGGCCTCTTCTAAAAACATCATCTGGATTGGCCAGTTCAATCTAAATTAAAAACACAAATATTTTATGCAATGTAATTAAAGAGCTCAGGATTTGTAAACACTGATTATTCAAAAGCTGCTGTAGAATCTCCCTCTTAACTGGACTTTAATTTATCCTGCAGTCTGTCACTAAATACTTTAAAACACTTTCTACACTTTCCTCATTTTATGATGACAGCAAGTGCCTATCTATTACTTCTCCTTTCAATATCTATGTATAGGCTCCTTTCAATATCTATGTATAGGCTGTGTGGGTGCTACCTTAGCATGTACATAGTCTAGACAAAGTATAACCCAGGCCTGCCACAGTGGTTTGCATGGTAGATGTTGACTTGTAGATCCTGTTAACAGACTAGAGAGGAAAAATGTGGTAAAGTCACAAACATATTTTTGACAACAGGGGAGTTGTGGCCTATTTGTCTACAGTCAACAAATGGGAACTGTCTCTGGCAGTGACTGGTATCAGTTGCTTCTAAGGAAGGTGCAAAAAAACGTCAGTATAGAAAATGATGGAATAACCTGCCTATGGGAAAGTTTCATCCTAATCCTAGTCAATCCTAAACCTAGTTAGTTTATCCCCTGAAGCGTGAACTCCTCTTCTAAAAAAAAAAATCCTACTTAATGTAACTGGATGTCATCATCCATATAAATATCTAATTCTTTTTTTAAATTTACACACACCAAATTACACAGAGTAACTGTTGTGGAAGAAAGCTGTTTCCTATTACAATTCATTATTTTTTATGCTTCCATTGTGTCCCTCTTATTCACCTCTAAACTAAACAATACCAATAATTTTAATGTCTCTTTATTATGTCTTTCTATGCCTCAAACTATTTTTGTCATCTGCCTCTAGATCCCTTCTCTATTTCTCCTCTATCCTCTTTTCATATAGGAAGATCAGAACTGATCACAGTATGACAATGTTCCATGGTTTTGTATAACCTTTTCAGTATTTTCTATTCTATTCCTTATTCAGCCTATCACTTGTTTCTGATTTAAACACATGCTGACAAATTGTCAAGCCCTCTGATAAAGGAGACCAAACGTTGCTTGCTGAAATGTTCTTGTATTTCTGCTTTATTCAAAAGCAACTGCTCTGTCTTGGAGCCAAATTTATCAGGATAATGTATTTGTTTTTCAAGAGAAATGCCAGGATTAAAGTCTCTAAGCAACTGTAAACGCTTAAAAGAATCCTCTGAAAGAGTCGCTTTTAACATTTCCTCTCTTGCTAGGGGCATTTCTGCATTGGCTAAAGGAATAGTTTAGATGGCCTAGCAGGGATGATAAATCTAATAGAAGACTTCACTTGATGGTCATATAATATGAACAGAAACCTCTCAATTTACATTTAAAGGAACATTGAGCTATTTCTGCCTTATGTGGCAGAAACAGGAGAACTTTGTTAGGCTCAGGGGTGAAATTCTGGCCCCATTGAAGTAAATGGCAAAACTTCCATTGAATTTGGTGGGGTCAGGATTTCACCCCAAATCCTTGGCCACTCCTAAGCAGCTATGCCAAACCCACGAAAAAAACGTAGAAATTGGGCTTGTTTTTGGTTTAATTTGCTTGTGAGTTGCTTGTTGGCTAGTTTTTGGCTTGTTGTTTGTTACTTGTAGCTTCTTTTTTTGATCGGCTCCCGGCAAGGGGGGACAAGAATGGGCGGGGGGGGAGAGAGTCAGGGGTTCACAGCGGGCCCACCACAGTCCCAGACTGCACGCCGGGGGGGATCTAGTCACATACAGTGTTCAGTTTCTTATGGATTGGTTTGTTTTGGCCTTGTTTTGAAAAGGGATTAGCTTGATTTTTTTTTACTTATTGTGAAAGTTGGGGTGCTTACTTACCGCGTGAAAGTTGGCAACTGTGCTCCTAAGTGCCACTTCAGTAATGATGCAGCTTTAAGATATTCTGCCCTAACAGAGGAATGCTAGATTGGTGTAAGGCTGACATTGTCCTATGCCAGCCCCTCTTGGCCCAGCCTCTGAAACCCCAGAACGTGGTTGGTCTCAAAAATCTGAGCTTCAGCACAAGTCTAAACACCGGCACTGCAATTTTTAGCTCCCCAGCCCAAGGCCCGTAAGCCCAAGTCAGCACAGAGCCACAGGGTTTTTTACTGCAGTGTGGACCTAGCCTTTATCCTTAGAGCCTGCATCACTCCTGCAGTTGAGATCAGCAAGAGATGGATAAACTGACAATCACTAATTTTGTATGGCTGGGGAACAAGACACTCTCAGTGAAGTATTCCTACTTTTTTTTAGAATTTGTTTCACTTCCCTTGTGGCCAAACAGAGCCTCACTATGTTGATCCTCAAGGCCTGGCTGCCTTATGGAAATTAACTTGGAATTGGCAGGGCAGTTATTTTATTGGCATTAACTTGTGTTGTCTTTACTGACAAAGCATCTTACAATAGGTGTATCTTAGAAATGGATTAAGTGAAATGTGGCCCCATTCGCTACCTGAGGCCCAGAGTGTAGGATTTGTTAAAATGTTTCAATTATAGGCTAATATGAGAAATTTAAACTGGTTTTGGTTTGGATTCAAGACAAGATGGTTGACTAAAAATCAGGTTTTTTTTTGTTTTGTTTTTTTCATGGCAAGCAGGAAACCTCAATTTAAATATCTATTTTAATCTTGTTTTGCATTTGTACTCTTTTGTTTTCCTAAAGAAAGGTTGATTCTCATTGGTTGCTATTAATGTTTATTTGCAATTAAATATAGTCTCTAGATTGCTTTTGGTATTTCTTGCTAACCAGGAAGATATGCAATTATATAGCTTAACACTTATTCAGAGAGCCTTATTTTTTTTTACATTGTTTTGTTGTAAAATAATGATGACATGTTTCTTATTTCCTTTATTAAATTTTTACTTGTGACTTGTGTCAAGCTACATGGATGGAAATTGGAATTCAATGAAAAATGTTGTCTGTGTGTTTTTTTTAAATTTTACTCAAATAAAAACAACCTTAAATGTGCTGGATATATACATTTATTTTTTCATATCAAAACAGTTTTGCATTTAAAATAACTGATTAGAGGAAGTATTATCTGTAGCTAACAAATTGAACTGATTGTTTCTGGTCATCATGTCCTTCAGTATTTTTAGAAGTAGTAGATCTGATCCTCCTGTTTTGTTCATGAATTTAAAGAAGCTTTTTTGCTTTTTCAACTCCCAATTGGTTTCTCAACTTTGAATGAACTAGTTATTGAAATGAAATACAGAGAATATTCTCTGCACCAGGAGAAGAGGCTACTGCTGTCAAAAGCTGCTTTACCACTTCAACAAACTCTAGTTCCAGGTGCTTAGCCAGTGACTTCCACCAGTTCAGTGGTTTAACTTTTATTTTTAAAACTTTAGCAGCAAACGTATTGTCTGAATATTTTCTTATTCCATTCAAATAATTTTAATAGATTTAAAATAAATTTAGGCTTTAATATGAATTGTCATCATTTCAATTTTAGTTTAGTTTTTTAAAAGTCCAGTTTTGAATTGGATGTTTAGCCACTCTCTGATTTAGACTTCCCTGCAGTATTTGGAGCCCAAACTTTGCAGCATAGTGCTACTGCACGACAATCCTTAAGTGACGTTGCCAAGTCTGTTTTCATTGTCCAGACATAGTGAGAATTAAATTCTATCATTAAAATATTGTATTGATCTAAAATGGAAATGTTTAAACCTGCTAATGTTAAACCTGTTTGTAAAGTGATGTCTTAAAATATACAGTTCAGTTTTAAATCTTTATTCTTCCTTTCCAGGTGGCTATGGTGGAGGTTCAGCTAGAAAGAGATTATCCCTACCCTCCAGGTCTCTTGATAGCTTTCAGTGCCTGTACTACTGTGCTTGTTGCTGTTCACCTCTTTGCTCTCATGATAAGTACCTGCATTCTTCCAAATATAGAGGCTGTTAGTAATGTGCACAATCTCAACTCTGTAAAGGAGTCTCCGCATGAGCGTATGCACCGGCACATTGAGCTCGCCTGGGCATTTTCCACTGTCATTGGGACTTTGCTCTTCCTTGCAGAGGTGGTGCTGCTGTGTTGGGTGAAATTTCTTCCACTGAAGAGGCATCCTCTTGTTTCAGCCAATGACAACAATTCTACTATCACACCAGGAGAGGCAGCAGCCATTGCCTCAACATCTATTATGGTTCCTTTTGGATTGATTTTCATTGTGTTTGCAGTCCACTTCTATAGGTCACTGGTGAGCCACAAAACAGACAGGCAATTTCAAGAATTGAATGAACTTGCTGAGTTTGCACGACTCCAGGATCAGCTGGACCACAGAGGCGACACCTTGCCACCTCCTGGCAGCCACTTTGCATAAAACTATATTTTGTATAAAAATCCCATTTTTTTCTGCCTTGCTATGTTGACTGCTCCCTGCATGAACTAGCTGGACTGTTGATTTATTTTAAAGAGAGATTTATAAGTACTGTGCTAATTTCTTACAGTAAAAAAATACCATGACATCTTAGACAACTGACATCTGAAGAGACATCTGATGTTGGGGTCTGGCTGCACTGAGCATGCATCTCTCTTCCCTCCTCTTATCATCTGGATTGTTTCTTTTTAATGTTGAATGGTGAATATATCAATGAATAAGAGGAATTAAATTTTAGGCCTCAGTATATGTTAGGGGTGGGAGGGAAGCCTTATTTCTCTCTCTTTGATGTTGATGTTTGCTAGAAAATATTGCTTGTCCAATACATGTTGCATGGCACAATACAAATTACTTGGGACATGCAGTAATTAGCATTTGGTTTCAGTGCTAGTGCTGTGATCTAGGGTTACCATATTTAAAAAAAACATAAAGAGGACACTCCATGGGGCCCCACCCCTGCCCTGACCCCGCCCCAACTCCACTCCTCCCCTGAACGCTCTGCCCCCTGCTCCTCCCCCTCCCCTGCTTCCTGCGAATCAAATGTTTGCGGGAAGCCTGAAACAGGCAGGCAGCAGGTAAGCTGGGGCTAAGGTGGTGGCGGGGGGGCGCGAGGAGGCACGGCCCAGTTCGGCCCCCCCGGCCGAGCAGCTCTGGCTCCGGTGTCTCCGGCCTGGGACCTGGGGCGCCGGCTCCAGTTGAGCGGCTCCGGCCCCGGCCCCGGCAACTGCAGCCCGGCTCAGCTCGGGCCCCAGTTCCGGCCGAGCGGCTCCGGCCCCGGCCCTGTGTGAGCAGCGCTGGCCGAGCAGCCCCGGTCCCAGCGGCTCCAGCCCAGCCTGGCTCGGCTCGGGTCCCGGATCCGGCCGAGCGGCTCCGGCCCGGCCCCGGCCCTGGCTGAGCGGCGCCGGCCGGTGGCCGAGCACCGCCGGCCCCAGTGGCTCCGGCTCTGGCCCCAGCGGCTCCAGCCCAGATCCAAGCCCCACGACCCCTCCCTATTTTCCCGGACATGTCCGGCTTTTTGGAATTTCCTCCCAGATGGGGATTTGAGGACCAAAAAGCTGGACATGTCTGGGAAAATCCGGCCGTATGGTAACCCTATGTGATCTCTAAAAGTCTGATGAAAGGTAAAATTGAGAGCTTTTCCACCTTCCCTTTTCCCACTAGCTCTCCCAATCATGTTTTTCTGCCAAGTAATCATTACTTTACTAATTTCTATAGGGCCTTTTGCCATGGCAGCTATAAATTCTTACCCTCCAGATACCCATGACCAGTCCTATTGTAATGTGGTATGATCTGTATCTGTAGGACTGAAGCCCTAACTTTACTCTTCTTTTGGGAAGAAAATATAGAAAAAAGCAATACCTGCTTTAATGTTCATGGGAGCAGATATGTTATCAGAAGTGATAAAATTGCCTGTTTTCATTGAGGAAACATTTTAAAAATTAAAAATAGATTTTATTTTCTTCCTTGAAAACTTGCTATTAATGGCTTTTCTCTAGCAATAACATACACTGGTAGAGACTTAACCACAGTAGAACTACTGCTATGGTTCCAAACCAATGTAGCAAATATTTTATACTTTTTATATATTAAATATATTTTTGAATAAATTCTCAGATACAAATGATAAAAGGCGCTTTGTCTGTGTGGGAATTCCAAGTAATTAGCTGTAGTTTGATCTTGTTTGGTAGAAAAATCTTCTGCTTCCTCAATTATTGTATTTAAGATATTAAAATCTTAATTACACTTGATTTTTGCTTCCAATATTGTGGAAGACCACTTATTGCTATAGAGACTTATTTATGAAAACAAATGATTTTTATTTTAAGAAGTAGTATTGCTTCTTAATTGTAAGACGTGCATCTTTTATTGAATGAAGCTGCTGTTTTAGCCTCAAGCTATTGTGTCAAATTCTAACTTCTTCCTCAAGCAAAAACTCACACTTGACACAAGGATTATAGGCTTTGGCTTCAACTCCTTCAGAATTTGTGACTCTAGATACATTAAAAAGTGAATTGTGGCTTTTGGGCAGGGTTTCTCCTGCCTTCACTGAAGGATGGAAATGGGTGGGTTAGTTGGTGAAAAAGCTCTATGAACCCAGAAAGTACCAGTTTCGGATATAAAGAACAGGAGTACTTGTGGCACCTTAGAGACTAACAAATTTATTTGAGCATAAGCTTTCGTGGGCTACAGCCCACTTCATCTGATATGTTCCGCTCCCATGGAACTGGGATCTCAGCTCGTAGCTGCTAATATAGAATGTAATCCTGTAATTTTGTGATGGAGGTTTTTCAGTCGTGGCCTAATCGGAGCTATGTCTCTTTGACTTCAAGTGAAGCTGTGCATGCTTATGCCTACATTGAATGTACTCAATTATACCTGGCCTCTTTACCAGATGAATTCAACATGCTTTACAAATGAAGGTCCTAATTTTGCAAACACTGGCTCCTGAGGGTAGTACTTATTGTCGTTAGTAGGCCCACTTGCATCAATGCAACTGACTTATTAGTGCAAACACTGTAGGAGCAAGATTTTATAATTGTACTATGAGAATTTGATTTTATCCTGCCAGCCACCCTTTTTGAATAGCAGAAAGAAATGACAGACCAGGACAACTAATTATGGTCACCCTTTTGTTTTAGGATAAGTTATAATGTCTACTATGGTTTCCTATATGTATTACAAATTTGGCACTCTAGTTAAATATACATTTCTTTGTTTTAAGGTTTAGTGAGTAAGAGACAGGATCTTGTATCTATGTTAAGGAGATTAGGGGAATATTGAGGGCCTGAAGCCCCAATGTGAATTGTTTTAGTTATAAGATCTAGCAAGGCTTGATTTACAATGTATTCTGCTGAATATACAATACTGCTATCTATATACCTTTGAAGGTTTCTGTAAGAGATTGTTTGTGTGAATGAGGAATGCATGCATCAGGAAAAGATAAGGTGTGAAAGCCATCACAAATGTCCAGATGGTCAAGAAAAAGTGAGAGACTTGGAAAGACCAGGAGACAATCAGAAAACATCCATTGTATCCAATGCTAAACATGTTAGCAGCATTGACGACCTCAGAGGTGAGGCAGGCACCCCCGAAGGCGAGACAACAAATAGGAGATAATGATGGGAAGCCCGACAATAACCATCAAATGATAACACTACTTAAGGACTAATGATTACAGGATGACATTGCAAAATGCATGGACTCAAATGGGAATTTACAACTATAAAGCTGGGGTGTTTTGCCATGGAACTCTGGGTTCAGTCCTGCAAAGCCTTGGAGCATTGGATCGCGACCGACAAGAACCCTGCTCCTCACTCTGATCAATCTAACTGGCCATTAGATTGACTCGAGCTACAACATACTGGTAACTATAAAACATCAAATGGCAGGAGTGTGTGTGTGTGTGCGCGCGCCCAAAAAGCATATGCTAACTGTTGTATTTTCAATAAATGCTGCATATTTGCCTTCTCCTGAAAAGATCCCTTGTGCTTAGTATGAGCATAACATTTTTGGTGGAGAATTGCGAAAGGGGGAAGGGTATATGTTATTGACAATACTGCTAAGTGATCGATCATTCAGGTGTGCATACCCCCGGTCATAGAGATAACGGGCAGTAAAAAGGGAACCAGGTGTGGTTAATATTCACTGTTGGTATTTTATGAATTGAGAATTTGTATGATTAAGAGGTATACAACCCCTCGGTCGTAGCAGGGCTGAGAGACAGGAGAGAGGTTTAGCATCCCTCCCTCCACCCCAGACTGCTGGGGGGAAATAATTGGAGGTGGATATACCCCCGGTCGTAGAAGTGCCGGGCAATAGGGGGAGGATTAGCAGCCTCGCCCCGACCTGTCTGTCGGGGAAAACTATAGGTGCATACACCCTCGGCCGTAGCATGACTGAGCATAAGGGTACGTCTTCACTTACATCTGGGTCCGGATGTAAGCAATCGGTTTTCTGAGTTCGATTTATCGCGTCTGGTTAAGACGCGATAAATCGATCCCGGATCGATCCCGGAAGTGCTCGCCGTCGACGCTGGTACTCCAGCTCGGCGAGCGGAGTACGCAGCATCGACGGGGGAGCCTTCCTGCCGCGTCTGGACCGCGGTAACTTCGGACTAAGGTACTTCGAATTCAGCTACGTTATTAACGTAGCTGAATTTGCGTACCTTAGTCCGAAGTGGGGGGGTTAGTGTAGACCAGGCCTAAGAGGCGAACTTAGGGTTTCTCGCTCTGCCCCTGGGAGGGGTTTTTATATTTGGTGGTAGAAGGCCGAGCAGTACAGAGGGAAGCTTAGCGTCTCTCCCTCTGGCCCAGAGTGGGTTAAAATCATAAGCACTGGCATGGGCAAACATAAGATACAGATCTTGTTCTGTTAAACCAAACTCTGAAGGATATAGGAGTTTGGGAAGTGTCGTATTTTTTTGTAAGTGATATTGTGGTAATTTCACAATTTTGAAGGAAATGATTAAGGAAAGGGACCAGGAAGGGTGGGGGCTAATTAAGGAGCCCACCCTCCTTGCTAAATTGGTAGTGGAACAAAGCTTGTGCCCATGGAAAGGAACGTTCATTGGAAAAAGCAGGATCGGGCCCAGACAAGCAGGCAAGGAACAGATAGAGAAACTGGAAAACAGGTTGGAAGCCCTAAGGGCATAGTGGCAGGAGTAAGAAAAGCAGTAAGTGCAGGCATGAATCCCTGGGACAATACTTAAAATGGTGAAATCTGAGTTGATAAAGGTGTCATTTTGGGAGATAAACAAGTGATTTAAGGAAAGAGTGAAAAGTCAAATCTACAGAGGCTGGAGAGAATTAAGCAGTTAAACTTTGTGAAAATGTTAGAGAATTCTTGGTTTCTTTGCAGCCATTCTGAAGGAAAAAATGGGCCCTTTTCCCAAAGGAATGTCTGTAAATAATCCAGGCAAAGAGACTATCTGATTGAAATCATTTGACTATGGACAATTTTGTCAAATTTGCTAAAAGAACATAAGGGGGAGGGGCAGGTTTTCTATTGGAATTTAACTGACCCAAATGTATAAAGGGAATGTAATCTACGTACAGCTATGTAAAAACAAAGCAGTGTAGAAGGGATGTTAAGGAAAAGAAAATGTGTGTGTATGTATCTGTGGAAATATGTGAGGTACTAAGAACCTTAACCAGCACATCTGGTTTGTAAGACTCCTGTTTTGTAGGTTTAAGATAAATTGGTTTTGTTTTGTTGTTAATAATGCCACTAAAAATCCATTTGACTCTTTAATTCAAATTGCAAAACTGACAGACCTTTTTGCCAGACACAGGTAATTAGTGTTGTTTGGCTTTGGGATTTGGCATTTAACCCTTAAGGGGTAACTCGGTGCTTTACAAAATTTAAAATGTTTTTAAATAAAGACCAAAGTGGTGGCTGCAGCAGGGCAGTCAAAATCAGGAGAATAGGAAAAGATTCTGGATTCTTTGTTTGTT